AAAAAATTAAAAAACCCCCGAAACAGGGAGCCAAAAACTAACACATCATAAACTCTATTCAATGGGGCTGTTGATACAATATTTTATTATTCTTTATTAATGTTAACATTTGTTAAATTTATTCTAGTATAATTGGGTACGTATGTACATATGTACATATGTGCATTATAAAAAAAATTAATACATTTGCATATGTTTGCCTACTCGATTGTGGACATACATACATATTTGTATACTATGTATGCATACATACATATGTTAATACTTATACATGTGTCTATATGTAAGCTCATGCATACATATTTACATACATATTAACTTACATACATATATGCGCGCTGAAAACATGATAGCACATCTGCAGTCATTGAACTTTTAAATATTGCTTATTGGCAATCAAAATTTATATGCAGCTATGTATATACATATGTATGCATATGTACATACATACAGTGCCATCCGTTTATAATGGACTCCACGGGAACGTATGACATTTTTAAGTAATAAAAAAATAATGTACATGTATCAGGGACCGAACGTAACAGTTATTGATGAAAACTGTCAGGGAAAGATTCACTATGAAGGAAATGTTCTACAACTAAGTGATACCTATCAACCGATTTCTTTTTCCACCGAGACTCAAATTTGAAAATACATTTTTTTTGTGCAATTTTTATGCAAATTTTAAAAAAAAAAAAAACACATATTTTTGATTTTTATATTATAAATCCAAAATAACAATTATTTTTTATTTTTATGTTATATGTCTTAATAAAAATCAGTCGGTGACTTCTACTTTTAAACGTCATAAATAAAAATCAGTCCTCGACTTTTATTTTTTAAATCATAAAAGTCATTAAGATTTTAAGAATGTGTTAGGAAACAAAAGTTTACTACGACTTATACAAATGACTTTTATAACTATGATTTAAAACATAAAGGTCAGTGAATGATTTTTATTTATGACTTTTGTAAATAAAAATCTTCGATAACTGTTATCTAAGACATATAAATTAAAAATCAAAAATAACTGTTATTTGCAGATTCTTTAGATAAAAAATAAAAAAATAATTGTTATTTTGGATTTATAAAATAAGTCAGAAATAACGGGTATTTAAGTAGTAATTAAATAAAAATCAAAAAATAATTGTTAAAGAGCGATTTTTTTTTTTTTAATAAAAGTTGTAACTGCTATGGTCTCTGACATGTATAAATACAAAATTGTATACTTTACATGCAAGGTAAATGCCCGTTTTTCCCGGTCCTGCATTTTTCTTAAAGTGAACAAAACACAGATCAAAAACCAACCAATCACTTCACAATCTACCGCAGAAGTTGTGCTCGAATCGTCTCATACGATATCTTATTACTCGTCACGCAAAAACACATTTTTCGGATTATGACATACGTGAACGTACTCTTTATCCTTTATCCCATTCAGCTTATACGACTGACGTATCACGTAATTTTCATCCGTGAACGGATGCTACAATTCGAGCGCTGATTGCCTATTTTGACAGATTTCGGTAAACCAATGAACTTTGTATAAGTATATAGATATTTTCTGTTGCAAAGACCGTTGCCTATCTTTACTGAGCTCCGAGAATTTCCGAACTGGGTTTATTGCAGCGATTTTTTAATTTGGCCTTGTCGGCCCCCGGTTATAATGGACAAAAAACCGATATTTTAGTCCATTATAGGCGGAGTTCCGTTAAAACAGATTTATTTATGAAATACTGTACAACAAAATTGTGACGATGCTTTAAAATGTTGGGAGAAAGCTTAAGATTTGCCACTTCTTAGAAGCCATTCAAGGCAAATTTTAAACATACCAGCTAGCTCAGCAACTAGTGAATGAGTTTTTTCTTCGTCAGGCAGAATTCTAGAAGAAAGAGGTACAGGACTGCTTGGTGAAAACCTCGACTAAAAACATTTCGAGCTTTTTAATTATATTTTTTAGAAATATTTTGAGTATGAGTACTATTTATAATAAAGTGCAATATTAAGTAGCTCCGACTTATCGTTGGTTTTTGCATTTTTTTTTTTTTTTTTTTCAAAAATTAACGGCAAGTCGTTGCTAGTTTCATCTTGCAATTTATTATACTTGAATGGGCTACCAACCTGCATACTCAAAATATTTCTAAAAAATCGAATTAAAAAGCTCGAAACTTTTACGAAAGTTGATTGATTTTCTTTTTAAATGTTGCACAAAGACTGAAACTTGGATTTATATGGTTTTTATTATTTTTATTTACACATAATTAAAACTATAAAAAATAATTAAAAATAGAAAACATTATAAAAATTTATAGTGCGTTCACTGAGTACTGAGATGTGCTCACTACGTTTATATATATATATAGTATACATTTAATTATATTTAGCCATAGCTATGCCAATTTTGTTTATCTTTCTCTAATCCTGATTGCATTCATTATAACCTTTATTGACTCATATACCTATATATGTATATGTATTTATAAATTACTGTAGTTCTACCAAAGATTTCTTAATCTTACTGTACTGATGCACTGATTAATAAATAAAATGAAATAAAAAATAAAAATTTATTAAAATCACACTCGGATACTAATTTCTCAGTTCATTAGATACGGGTAGATAGATAAATGCACGGGGATGTTAGAACAAGAGACTCTGCGACCTGTGCTCCTAAAAGTGTTTAATTGAATAACATCCGATCTATTTAAATGGTAACCAATGACCGACTCGCGGCTTTATTTCTGAAGGCTTTACTACTACTAAACTACAAAATGGGAATATGTATCACAATATGGGTGTCAGACAAATAAAGTTTAAAAAGGTTTTAATTGGAAAATACTTATTTTTTGGCTTTTTCATGGTAAATACGCCGATTGTAAAAAATGTGATTCAAGTTGAACATTTGAAAGCAAATTCGTATGTCTGGCTGTAGCTGAACGTGCATGTTTTGTATCTCCGAATTATGAAAAAGCATCTCTGAAGTGCAGAACATAAGCGTATGCAAACGAAAAAAAAACGGCAACCAAAAATTTGTTTAATGCAAACAAAAATATGGTTGAAATTATCAAATTACTTTTGACAATATCAACCAAGGTACTGTTAATATTTACCAAAAATCACTTTGATTACCTTTCAAGTTTAAATTTGGTAATATTAACCAATTTTTGGTGGATTTTTTTCTCAGTGTATGTTAAGCTTTAATGAAATAAATTACACTAATTAAACTAGTAAAATATAAAATGATTGATCTTTTCTATTTTTTCAACTTTTTGAGATACTCTTGGAATCGTTTTAGTACTTTGGATACTGCTCGTATTATATTCGGGAACTTTCGGGATGTTTCGTGAACATTTAGCTTCGACCGGGCATTTAAATCTTAGCTTTGATCTAGGTTAACTTTGATTTTCATTTTAAAATTCCGCCATTTTAGCAGCGATTTTCGAATAAAAAAATGCACCCGATTAAGTCGCGTGGTTAGAGGGGCGTAATATCCCTAGGTAGGAACCGGATTCCATTTTCTTTAATAGTCGGCCCTATGGCTGGAAATAACAAACCCCGTAGTGTATTTCCGTTTTAAAAATACACTTAGCCGTTTTAAAAATACACTTAAAAAAATCAAATGCCGCTCGGAGGCATCGAAAATTTTGAGGGTCCTTCGCTTGTGCAATAACATGAAGACGCATCCCAAAACTTGGAGCAGTAGCTCAGCCAAACATCTAGCAAAATGTTTGAGTGCCAAGTATTTTTTTTGCAAACTTTTCTTTAAATCCTAGACTTCATTTAATTATCGAAACACGCTTATACGAACACTTTAATAAGTACCTTTTTACAAGCTTTCATTGCTATTTCTCCTTACAGAAACGCTGGGCAATGATTTGAGTGCAGCATGGGAGCAAGAATTGAAGCGAAAGTCAACATCGAAACGAGGTCCAAGCCTGTTAAAGGCCACAACACGTGTCTTCGGTTGTCGTTATGCACTTTTAGGTCTCGTACTTCTCATTTTAGAATTGGGTCTAAGGCAAGTACATACATACATACATATGTGGAGAAGTAACAAAAATCACTAAACTGTCTAAATACCTACTTATTCCCACAGAGCGTTACAGCCACTATTTCTATTAGGCCTAATTGCGTTCTACTCGCAAGGCGGAGAAAATATCAACACCGCTTATCTGTATGCAGTTGGTGTGATACTCTTTAGTGCTATAAATGTGATCGTAATGCATCCCTACATGCTGGGCACAATGCATACGGGCATGAAGATACGCGTCGCCATGTGCAGTATGATTTATAGGAAAGCGCTGCGCCTCAGTCGTACAGCTTTGGGCGAGACTACTGCTGGCCAAGTGGTGAATTTGATATCGAACGATGTGGGCCGTTTAGATTTAGCTATGATTTTTATACATTACCTTTGGATTGGCCCACTGGAAACGATATTCATTACCTATTTGATGTCAATTGAGGTGAGTATAAAAAAAAAAAAAAACAGGTATCCATAATTCGCACTATGTATTTTCTTTTGCTATGACCCTTCACAGATTGGCGTTTCGGCTTCGTTCGGTGTTGCCTTCATGCTGCTCTTCATTCCACTTCAAGGTTGGCTGGGCAAGAAGACGTCAGTGTTACGCTTGCGTACCGCTTTGCGCACAGACGATCGCGTTCGCATGATGAACGAAATCATTTCGGGCATACAGGTGATCAAGATGTATGCATGGGAAATACCATTCGGCAAAATGGTGGCATATGCGCGCAAAAAGGAAATCAATGCCATACGAAAAGTGTCGTATATACGCGGTGTACTGCTGTCGTTCATCATGTTTTTGACGCGCGTCTCCGTCTTTCTCAGCTTAGTTGGCTATGTGCTATTACAAAAGGTGCTGACGCCGGAGAAGGCTTTTGTCATTACGGCTTATTATAATATTTTGCGCACAACTATGACGGTGTTCTTTCCCCAAGGTAATATGCAGCTGGTGATAAGTGAAAACTCAAACATAAATAAAGTATTCTCGACAACGTAGGCATTTCACAGCTGGCCGAGGCGCTGGTGTCCATTAAGCGTATACAAAAGTTCATGCTGTACGAAGAGACTGACATCGTTGACAAGTCCGTCGATAATCCCAACTATCCAGGCAGCAATCAGTCTACCGTGCTCAAGGACGATGAAAAGGCACTCGACGGACATGAGCCGGAGAAGGCGTTCGCTTCCAATGGACACGCTACACTCTCAGAGGCGGGCATTGTGTTGAGCAATGTGAAGGCTAAATGGGATCGCAACTCAGCGGAGTACACATTGGACGATGTGAATTTGCGTGTGCAACCGGGCACATTGGTTGCAATAATTGGACCGGTGGGTTCGGGGAAATCTAGGTGAGCCCCAACATTCGCTGGGATTGCAAACAATTCTTAATTGAAATACATTTCTTTCCCATCCACAGTTTGATGCAGAGCATTCTCGGCGAGTTGCGTCCAGAGTCGGGCACCATTAAGGTGAATGGCACCTTTTCGTATGCCTCACAAGAGCCGTGGCTTTTTACCGGCACCGTACGCCAGAACATACTATTCGGTCAGCCGATGAATCGTCGCCGCTATCAACAGGTGGTGAAGAAATGCGCGCTGGAACGCGATTTCGAGCTTTTGCCATATGGCGACAAGACCATAGTGGGCGAGCGTGGCGCATCGCTTTCGGGTGGTCAGAAGGCGCGTATCAGCTTGGCGCGTGCTGTCTACCGTCAGACCTCCATATACCTGCTTGACGATCCGCTGAGTGCGGTGGACACACATGTGGGACGACATCTCTTCGATCAGTGCATGCGTGGATTTCTACGCGAACACATCGTGGTGCTGGTCACACATCAGCTGCAATTCCTGCAGCAAGCCGATCAAATCGTCATTATGGATAAGGGGCACGTAAGCGCGGTGGGCACTTACGATTCGCTGCGTGAATCCGGTTTAGATTTTGCGAACTTGTTGGCGGACCCCGAAAGGGAAGAGGCGGCGGTTGAAGAGAAGACACGTTCGCGCTCCGGCAGCAAAGTGTATAGCAATCGGCGAAATAGTGAGGCGTCGTTGAATTCGGTGCNTGTTGGCGGACCCCGAAAGGGAAGAGGCGGCGGTTGAAGAGAAGACACGTACGCGCTCCGGCAGCAAAGTGTATAGCAATCGGCGAAATAGTGAGGCGTCGTTGAGTTCGGTGGCGGAATCATATTTCGATGACACGCCAACGCAGCAGCAGGAGACACAGGAGGAGGGCAAAATCGGTTTGGATTTATATCAGAAGTATTTTAGAGCCGGTGGCGGCTTTTTTGCATTCTTTGTTATGCTATTCTTCTGCGTTTTGGCGCAGGTGCTGGCCTCTGCCGGAGATTGGTTCCTGTCATACTGGTGAGTGGGGAAGTAAGGGCTACTTTTATTGTACAATAATTCTAAATTTACACACATTCTGATTTGCAGGGTCGCCAAAAAGNCGCAGGTGCTGGCCTCTGCCGGAGATTGGTTCCTGTCATACTGGTGAGTGAGGGAGTAAGGGCTACTTTTATTGTACGATAATTCTAAATTTACACACATTTTGATTTGCAGGGTCGCCAAAAAAGGACGAAATGAAGTGGTGCTAGCGGGAAACCTCAACTCCACCCGCCTCGGCGACTCAATTGATAATTTCAATGATACGACCACATTGCCACCGGTACCTTTGCCGGCGCAAGAATCGAAATTCGCGACATTGTTACGCGATGTGGGCGTAAATGTCGATGCTGAGATGCTGGACATTTATATTTTCACCGCAATTACGGTGGCCACCATTGTCATTACGCTGGCGCGCAGCTTCCTCTTCTTCAATGTCGCCATGAAAGCTTCCACGAATCTGCACAACGCCATGTTCCGCGGCATAACACGTGCGGCCATGTACTTCTTCAACACAAACCCTTCCGGTCGCATACTGAATCGCTTTTCCAAAGATATGGGACAAGTAGATGAGATATTGCCCGCGGTAATGATGGACGTCATACAAATATTCCTCTCACTTTTCGGCATCGTGATTGTGATTGCTATTGTAAATCCACTTTTTCTGCTACCAACTGCCATATTGGCAGTAATGTTCTACTATTTGAGATCGTTCTACTTGAAGACATCGCGGGACATTAAGCGACTGGAAGCGATTAGTAAGTTGTGGTGTAGACCAGTAATCAAAAGCAACAAACTTAAGTCCGTTTATCCAATTTAAATATATATATCTGCCGTTACAGCGCGCTCGCCAGTCTATTCGCACATGGCTGCCTCGCTCGCCGGCCTGCCGACGATACGCGCATATGGCGCACAACGCGTGCTCATATGGGAATTCGACAACTATCAGGACATGCATAGCTCCGCATTTTACCTGTTCATCTCCACGTCACGTGCCTTCGGCTATTGGCTCGACTGTTGTTGCGTAGTCTATATTGCCATAATAACTTTGAGTTTCTTTCTATTCCCACCGGAAAATGGCGGCGATGTCGGCTTGGCCATCACACAAGCCATGGGCATGACGGGCATGGTGCAGTGGGGTATGCGTCAATCAGCTGAGCTGGAAAACACAATGACTGCAGTGGAACGTGTTGTGGAATATGATGATATTGAGCCAGAGGGTGAACTGGAGTCACCAGCTGATAAGAAACCACCAAAAACCTGGCCTGAGGAGGGTAAAATCGTATTCGATGAATTGAGTTTACGTTACCTCCCCGACCCGAAGGCGGAATATGTACTGAAATCACTCAACTTTGTAATTAAGCCATGCGAAAAAGTGGGCATTGTGGGACGCACGGGCGCAGGCAAGTCGTCATTGATCAATGCGCTATTTCGGCTATCCTACAATGACGGTTCGATCATTATTGATTCGCGCGATACCAAAGATATGGGTTTGCATGATTTGCGCAGCAAGGTTTCAATTATACCACAGGAGCCGGTACTGTTCTCGGGCACAATGCGTTACAACTTGGATCCGTTCGATGAATATACGGATGCCAAATTGTGGGAGGCACTTGAGGAGGTGAGGAAAACCATTTTTTTTGATTTGTTTTGAAGTGAACCTATTTTTTGGCGGCGCACAGTGTGGAAAATGGAATTTTTTGTGACAAAATCTAATATAGCGGGAACGAGAACAGATAAAGATAATATTCCCCACTGTGCGGCGGTAGTATACTAAAAAGTCGTCACGAAAAAATCTGACACTTGTGATATAGCGGACCTTTTTCATCTCACCCCTGTCTCTTGGTATGCCACGGTTTAAGGTTCAGATTTAGATGAAGTTTTTTGGAAAGAATTTTCGTCAATTCAGTATAATTTTTCGTAAAATGGCACTGCAGTTGGCACAACNGGTTTGCATGATTTGCGCAGCAAGGTTTCAATTATACCACAGGAGCCGGTACTGTTCTCGGGCACAATGCGTTACAACTTGGATCCGTTCGATGAATATACGGATGCCAAATTGTGGGAGGCACTTGAGGAGGTGAGGAAAACCATTTTTTTTTTGATTTGTTTTGAAGTGAAATTTCTTTGGCGGCGCACAGTGTGGCAAATGGAATTTTTTGTGACAAAATCTAATATAGCGGGAACGAGAACAGATAAAGATAATATTCACCACTGTGCGGCGGTAGTATACTAAAAAGTCGTCACGAAAAAATCTGACACTTGTGATATAGCGGACCTTTTTCATCTCACCCCTGTCTCTTGGTATGCCACGGTTTAAGGTTCAGATTTAGATGAAGTTTTTTGGAAAGAATTTTCGTCAATCCAGTATAATTTTTCGTAAAATGGCACTGCCGTTGGCACAACGCCAAATCCGGTTTGCCTCCACACCTAATTTAAGAAAGAAGAAATTAGTTCCAAAATAAATAATTTCCTCATTTAATAAAATATTCCCAATTAGCATAGCCACTAAATCAGAAAACAAAAATTTCAAAATGAGACGTTGTATAAGACATTAATCAAGGGAAGTCTCACTTCCGTAGTGTGACTCAGACGCACTTATTTTAATTTTAATTTTGAGTTTACACTAAAAACATTTCCATCTCCCCTCAGGTGAAATTGAAGCAAGTCGTCGCCGAATTGCCCAGTGGTCTGCAGAGTAAAATCTCCGAAGGTGGCGCAAACTTTAGTGTTGGTCAACGTCAATTAGTGTGCTTAGCACGTGCTATTCTACGCGAAAATCGCATTTTGGTCTTGGACGAGGCAACAGCCAATGTAGATCCCCAAACGGATGCACTCATACAATTGACAATACGGGATAAATTTAAAAATTGTACTGTACTCACAATTGCACATCGGCTTAATACAGTTATGGACTCCGATAAGGTGCTGGTTATGGATGCTGGCCAAGTGGTGGAATTCGGTTCGCCACATGAGCTGCTAACAAAGAGTGAAGCGAAAATCTTCCATAGCATGGTGCAGCAGACGGGCAAATCAACTGCGGAGAATCTAATGAAAATTGCGCAGAAAGTAAGTGAAATGGGGAGAAATGCGTACAGTTATTTATAATTTTTTACTAAAAAATCTAAATCTTCACAGGCACATGAACAAAACGCCAAGTCGAAAATGGATTAGTTGGATTTCTCAAAATTACAAGCCAAATGTAACAAAGTTAAGATTGCCAAGCGAAAGCTTTTTTTTCACTCATTGTCAATAGAAATGTGATCTGCATTAGGAATTTTTATTATAGATATAATTTACCGTCGCAGATACTATGTCGAATCACATACATATCAGTGAACTTTTGGAAAAACAGCCCATTTTTATTTAGCAATTTTTGTTTGTACAGCTCTAACGCATTGGATTTTAAGCAGAAATGTAATTTGTATTTTAATGTGGGTGTTCACATCTGCCTGGTTATCAAGTTATCTGATTTAAAATTATTGTTTGCTAGTGCTTTCGTTAAAGCATAAAAGCAGGCCTTAACAGAGAACCGGCTTTGATAGGAGCAGCGTTTAACTTTCCACATCGAGATTTTAATACCCTTTTAGGCAGAAATTAGTTCAACATATTTTAATAAGAAAAAGTTGTCAGTGATACAAAGTATACAATTTTAAAAACTAATTTGGTAGCTTGTTTAAAAGTTCACAGATATGTAGGCATGTATTTAAAGTTTTCAACATTTATGTTGTCTTGTATGTAAACTTGCCTTCACACATACGTACATACATATGTGTGTGCATACATACATATACACGTCGTGCATAAAGTACTCGTCATAAAAACCACTATTTTTATAAGTCTCTAAGGTAACATTTATAAGTTAAATTGTTCATTTTTTTGTAATTTGTGTACAGCTTTAAATTTTAGTTTTCGTAATTGTAAATGTGAAACAAAAACATTTGTTTATTTTAGTTTTAAGTAAATAGTGCGAAAATTTCCAAGATGCAACACTGGATGGTCCTTTTAGAACTAAATATAGATATATTTTGTACAATGTATATTAACATTTTGTATTTACATATACTTACATACATATGTACATATGTATAAACATACTATGTATATAAAAATAACAATACAAGTCAGCGTACTGCAAGATAATTAAAAAAAATAAAAAATAAAATTAAAAATAACATTAAACCTAAAAAAATATTTATAAAACGAGATGTGCCTTTATATAGGTTTACAGCAAATTACTTATAATTGCCAGTATATAATGAAGAAGCGATGAAATATAAGAAAATTGTACTGTCTTTATTCCACTGCAAAATAAACGTCCATTTTTGAAATGGTCAAAACATGTCTATAATCTTGTTTTTAATTGAAAACACTTAAGGGATGGATAAATTCAATGAGATTTTTGTGTATGAAATATGAGCAAAACTGCCATGTACGAGCATTTTTTTTTTCAAAGTATTGTCTTTATCTTTTTGATAAATGCATTTGCCTTGGCGCAGTCAGAGTTTTAAGCGTTGAGTTGGACAAAACTTTCGAGTTTTTCACTAATTTAAAAATTAAAAACAAAAAAAAAAAAAATGGATAGAAATGCGGAAAGAGGTACGATATTTTTTTCGAAAAAGAAAATCGATTAGTACTTTTCTTTGGAAATCAACATTTTATATTAAAAATTTGAAGATTTAATAGAAATTTTATAGAAGTATGGTTTTGAAAATTGTTTCGATTTTATATTCTAATAGTGTTTTGAAAACAAATAATTAAAAAAAAAAAATTACCGATCGGAAAATTTTCGCATGTTATGGGCATTTGAAAAAAAATATTTTTTTTTAATCAATACCTCGAAAATGGCTCTACAAAAAGAATCAAAAAACCAGGGATGGCTTTACTACATACTCGATATCTTGTCTGCATTTAAGCTAAATTCGAATTAAAGCTAATGAAGCCATGAAAACTTTTAGATTTTTTGCATAATAATTTTTTATAAAGGTGTAACTCAATACATAAAAAGCAGCATATGATTCAAAATTTCAAACTTTGTACAGAATTCACAAAAATTAAAATTTTAAAATTTGTGAAAAATTCTGGCCATGCAGTTATGTAGCACCTTTTAGTATAATAACTAATGTGCAAGTTTCAAGTGGCTAAGATAAATGGTTGATTTTTAAGAATTTTTTCGCGGAGGGTGTTAAGCATTTTGTTCTAAAATAAAAATGGGTTTCGACTTCGACGTTCATATACAGATGCGTGCAACTAATTAGCAACGAAATTCAAAACGATATTGCTTGCAAATTATGTTTATTTATTTATTTTTAATAATTTTCATTTAAAATATAATTCAATCTATAACAGAAACCACAATAACAAAAGTTGCAAAGCTTGCACAAATTGCAAAAAAATTAATCAAACTTAAAAAAATCGTCATCAAAATTTCAAAATTTTTAATTAGATATATAGAAAATGTTGGGGTATGTAGTTTTGTAGGCCATTCAATTTGAGTAAAATAAAGTGGAAGTTTCAAGTCGTCAAAATTTCAAAATTTTTTAATTAGACTATTTAGAAAATTTTCGGGTATGCAGTTTTGTAGCCCATTCAATTTAGTATAATAAAGTGCAAGTTTCAAGTCGCTAAAAATTACCGTTGATTTTTTAGAATTTTTTTTGTCGAGGGTATTGCGGATTTTTTTCCATGTAAAAAAAATTTTGATCATGTGTTATATGGAAGAAAATGCGCAACACCCTTTACTAAAAATCAACGGTAATGTTTAGCGACTTGAAACTTGCACTTTATTATACTAAATTGAATGGGCTACAAAACTGCATACCCGAAAATTTTCTAAATAGTCTAATTAAAAAATTTTGAAATTTTGATGACAATTTTTTGAAGTTTGATTATTTTTTTTGCAATTTGTGCAATTTGTGCAAGCTTTGCAACTTTTGTTATTGTGGTTTCTGATATAGATTGAATTATATTTTAAATGAAAATTATTAAAAATAAATAAATAAACATAATTTGCAAGCAATATCGTTGCTAATTAGTTGCACGCATCTGTACATACATACGTATTCATCTTCGTCGCTGTCTTCGTAATAGTCTTCGGATCGTATGCGTATTCGTGTTCATATTTATTTTCGTCGTCCTCTTCGTATTCATTTCCGTGATTTTCAATTATCAATTCATTTCATTTCAATTATTAAACCCTAAAACACAGACAAACACCTTTCCAATGGTGCTTGTGGTTTTACAAAATCGGTCCAGTAGAACCGCCAAATGAAGGCGGGCAAAATTTATGTTATCCCGTTATACATACATACATATATGTATGTGTGTATATACATACATATGAACATATGTACATAGATATCTGCGCTTTTCTTAAATCCACCATTAAATTCACCACCTCTTCGCCATTCAAGCTGAGTAAAAAGTAACAGGCCAGCTGGCAACATTCTCAAGTCTCGCATGTGGCAGCACCGCTGCAGCGCAGAGCAAAATAAATTATGATAAAAATCTACAATTACAACAACAATCAGCCTCTGTCAGTTTGGTTTTTGTTTTGATTACTGCCACAGCACTAACAATTCAATTAAAATTAAAAAATTTAAATTATTTGAAACAAATTTGTGTATCGCCGAAATGGGCTAATTTGTAACAGCAAAAGCGAAAGCAAGCGAGTTCCCATCAAGCATACATATGTATGTATGTATGTATGTAGGTAAGCAGCAGCGCCTAAAATCATGCTGTGAAAATTGTTAATTCCAAAAATGTGAATTGAAATAGACATGCACAACAATATAATGTCACAGTGACAGCGCATAATAAACATTTATAAAATCTGTAAACAAAAAGTGGAATATTGAATTCGTAGTGCATAAACAAAATATCTAACAAAATGTGAAACAAATGCTGGGAGGGTGGAAAATTCAATAATTCGATTCGATCTGCAGCTGCTGCTGCTGCTGCTGCTTTGGCATTCAGTATCGAGGGTTGTTTTTGTAGTGTTGGTGTCACGGTAGGTGCCCTGTACACGCAGGTCACAGCACCGGCAGGTGCACATACATATGGATGGGTGTATTTTTGTATCTGATTGACAATGGCCGATGAGCGATGAGGCATTTTTATGTGTGTGCGTGCGTGAGT